CAGTCGTCCAGAGTACAGATGAGAGGGATAAGGAAATGAAAAATTGAAAAGGTGTGGCTGCTACTGGCTAGGGTTAAAGGGTTTTGTTGATTTTTCATAAAAAATAAAAAAATTCTCCGAAATCTGGAGGCATGAGGGTTTGAACCCATGCGCTTCAGCTTGAAAAGTTTCATTGAAACCAACTTGGAAACAAGTTCTGTTTTGTTATTATTGTATGACTAAACTATTTATAAATATTGAAAAAAAATAATTAAATATATATCGGTTCGGTTCGGTTCGGTTTCCGAACCTCAAAAACCCAAACCGAACTGGTCAAATTTGGTTCAGTTCGGTTTGACAGTTTCGGTTCGATTTTTTTTCGGTTCGGTTTTTTTCGGCCTCGATCTGGTTCGGTTTTCGGTTTTTTGAACCCACCCCTAAGTAGCATTTCATTGTACATCTTTCATTAACTGATCAAATTGTAGGGTAATCTTATATTTATCCACCTACAAGAATCCATCAACTACCATCTTTTTCTTCCCGTACTCTGGAAAAAGAGCTTTCCCCGCCTCATCAGCGGAAGATCCCAACTCATCCAAAGCAGCCTATAACAATCAATCAGAAATGTTAGAATTCAAAAGTGATTACAATTTAGAAACAAACTATTATAAAAGTGCAATGCTTAAACATGTTACCAGTTAAAACACACACACACAAAACTTGCTACCTATAGAGGTTGATCACAAGTCAATTACCGCGAAAGCTTTAGCAAAGTCGTCTACAAATTCGTCTTTTGGTTCGTGAATATAATTTGCATCTTCTTTATTTGAATTCTTGTTGATTATATCATAGAGCTCGCTGAATCGCCTAGAGTAATGATCATATTGATCTTTGTACCTGTAAAATGATAAGGGAAACGTATATCATCATTCATGGAGCACCAATGGACAATTGAGTGAGTAGTGATAAGAAGTTTTACTACTAGATAAAACACTTTCAATTACGTTTGAAAAATATCATAAAAACCCTTCTATGACGTTTTCAAACGCCAGAACACTCATAGCCTGAGGAGTCGTGGAAAGTCTGTCAATACAATGATTGTGAAATCCCGTTCTGGATTTCGGTATTGTAATTTAGTTATTATGTATTTCTGGGATTTACATTATTTTCGGTAATTTTAGAGCTTTAGTCAGCTAGTTACAAAGTGTGAATTTTAATAATTAGTTATTAAAAATCTGTAGATCGTTCGGGGTCACTCTTAGTATTTTTGGATAGAACTCGTCCCACAAACGCATTGGCCAAAACTATTTGAGAAACATAGTTTTAACGAAGGAATTACAAGCCCTAAAGTTAGGGGATTATACTAGTGAATTATATAGTATAGATTCGTTATATGGCTTCGTTATATAGTATAGATTCTAGTGAATTATACTAGTTTAGTTCCATTGAGTAATTCTGGAATTCTATATTTTTTTTTTTGGTGAGAAAGTATTATAAAGAATGATATGTAGTATTATATGTGTTTTCAAAACAAGGGGTTGGTATGTTTAGAAAATAAAATTGTTTTAGAAAACTTTTACTTTTGTCCACTCACATTTTAATGCATACTTTCTCTAGTTGATAAAAATCCTATGTTCAGATTGCACAATTCCCATTCCTAAGAAATGATATAATAAACCAAGGTCTGTCATCTCATACTTCTTAATCATATCATTCTTGAACTCTTTTATCAATTCCATACTACTTCCTGTATACACAATATCATCAACATAAATTGATACAATCAATGGTTCTCCTCCTTCCTTAATTTTGATGTAAAGTGTGGCTTCACTGGAACTTCTTTGAAAACCACACTCCAAGAAATAGGAATTGATTTCTTCATACCAGGCTGTGGGAGCCTGTTTTGGCCATAAAAGGGTATTTCTTAACTTATATACCTTTTCTTTAGAGTCAGGCACAATGAACCCCTCAGGCTTATCCACATAAACTTCTTCAGTTAACACTCCATTCAAGAATGCTGATTTTACATCCAGTTGGTATAACTTCCAGCTTTCCTAAGCAAAAGTTTCATTGTAATCCATTCTTGGCTTTTGTGAGTAGTCCTTAGCAACCAGCCTTGCCTTATGTTTTTGTATGGTGCCATCCAATTTCAATTTGGTTTTGAACACCCATTTCACCCCAACAATGAATTTATCTGATGGTCTATCAACCAACTCCTATATTTCTTTCTTTTTTATCATCTCAATTTTGTACATAGCTTTCTTCCAAGCTTTATCAGTAGCTGCATCTTCATATCTCTCAGGTTCAATGATACTGGTGTGGAACTCGTAGAACTTGCTTCACCAATTTATGTTACAGGATTAGGGAATTTAAGCCTTTGAGAACCACTCCCTTCTAACAGTGATTCTCTTACAGATTGATTACTTGTATCCTTCTCAATTGCATAGACATTGTAATTGAAGTGCAAGTTCACGAGAGATGAGCTTGACCTCTCATTCTCATAATTCCAAATCCAGATAGCGCTCTCATCAAATAGAATACTTCTAGAGAGTATAATCTTCCGTGTTTCTGGAATGAATACTCTGTACCATTTTTCAGCTTTGCCTTATCCAACAAATACCATTCTAATTGAACATTCATACAACTCGTACCTCAGTTTTCCAAGGATGTGACCGTAACATACACAACCAAACACTTTGAGATGTTTCACACCTGGTCTTCTCCCACTAAAAGCTTCAAATGGAGTTTTGTCATTCACTGCCTTTGTAAGACATCTATTAAATATATAGACAGCTATATTAATAGTTTCACCCCAAAGGTAGTAAGGTAATCTCTTCTTATGTAACATATTTTTGGCCATTTCAACAATTGTCCTATTCTTCCTCTCAGCAACACCATTTCAACAATTGTTTCTCAATCACAATATATTCACAAAAGCTTTGAAGCTCATTTGAAGTGTATTCTCCACCTCTATCACTCAATAGGTTCTTAATTTCATTAGCCAGATTGTAACTCTACCATTGACTTGAACCTTTTGAATACTCCAAAGACATGTGACTTGCAGGTTAAGAAATACACACAACACATTCCAGTGCAGTCATCAATGAAAGTAAAGAAATACCTATTTCCTCCAATTGTGGTAACCTTGCATTGGTCCACACACATCTGAGTGAATTAGTTCCGGAGGTTGTGTGGATCTTTACACTTGATCTTTCTCAAATGCTTTTCTATGTTGCTTCCCTGCAGCACAACCAGCACAAATTCCACCACTTCCTTTCAGCTCAGGTAGCCTATGCACTATTTCCTTTTCATCCAGTAGATAAAAGCTTTGGAAGTTCAGATGGCTTATCCTTCTATGCTAATCCCATATATTTTCTTCAACCACTGCCTCTATAGAATATTCATATCTTCCATAAGCAAAGGAAAGCATATGTTCCCTGTCATTTGCACTGTGACCACATGATGCTCAAGCTGCCTATCTTCAAATATATCCAAATTTATCACACTCGTGACATTTTGGTTTTCCTTTTGAACCAACATTCTCCATAGTGCAGATTTCCATGGTATTTGCATCCATCTTTTGTATTCTACTTATTTCCCCCAAATTTAGGCACATAGTTTGGCTTTTCACCAAATTTCACATTTCCTTTCTTATCTTTGTTCTTCCAGGTTTTCTACATTTGGAACCCCCAGCATATGAGCTGTTCTTGGATTGTAGGCTAAGACTATTGGATACTCTCTCAGTGAACATCTCCATCATTAGCATGTCTATTCAGCCCTTGTTCAAACCCTTTCAGAGTTGCAACAACATATCCTTTGTACCCTTAATCACAGATATAATATTATCAAAAATAGGTGCCAAGCTTATAAGCAACTTCTCTACATTTCTTTTACTAGAGAGATCTTCGTCATACATCTTCATCTTATTTATCAAGTCAAACAATCTAGTAACATACACAGAAAGTGATTCATCATTTTTTATTCTGGCATATTCAAAATCTCTTCTAATACCTTGTAATTTCACAGCTCGAACGTGAGAATCTCCTCAGTACTCTTGCTTCAGTATATCCCAAGCTGCCTTAGCAGTTTCTTGATTTGCAGTCCTTGAGAAAATTTCATTTGAAATTGAGTTCTGAATCAGTTTGAGAGCTCTAGCATCATGAGCAACCAGATCCTGAGCTTTCTTCTTCTCATCTTGTTCTCCTTTAGTCACAGCTAGTGCCTTATAACATTCATCCACAAACATATCAAGATTATAAGACTTGAATACAATCTTCATCTTGAAACGAAATCGTAGTTGATCTTAGTGAAGATCAGAGCTCGTAGCTCACCTCCAGATCTAGCCGTTACAACTGAACCTCTTGAGTTCTTCATTTAGAATCTCAGAAATCTTCTTCATAGATTACGCCCTTTGATTCAGATAGAATCAAGCTCTGAGGCCATGTTGAATTTAGTTTAAAAATGGTTATTTTGGTGAAAGTTGGATTCGAGCAGTTAAGAAGGTATGATGATAGCAATCAGAGAGAATGTTGCAAAGAGTACATTGCTCTCTCAGTGATTGCATACACACTGAATCCATTACTTAATCACACAAGAAGTGTTTGAAATCCAAGTTATCTTCAATCATGCAGCAAGCTTAATCTCCAACAGATAATTGTTATATTGATTTGATCAATGGCAATTGCCATTACTTATATACATAGACTATGTCTAAGTCTAATACTATACAATAATTGTAAGAGAAATTTAAACTAATTAACTTATACAGATGAAATCAATGGACGTAGGGATTCTTTGATAAGCAGGGAGAGTGATCACACTAAGATCTACCCACCAAAGTTCAACCCAGTTATACGATCCATTCCCCCAAAGAGTGAAACCATTGTAATATAAATCCTTTTAACGGATTTTGGCGTTAACAATGATCATATTGAAATCTATAGAAAGAATGGTCTACATTGAACAATATTACATGAATATTTTCATGTAATCACATTAAAATTTATAGCAAGAATCGTCTAGTATTAACAACTTGTGCATACAATGGCATGCAGAAGTCTACTATGAACAATATGACTTGAAGGTTTAATTTCCATGAGAGTTTATGTTCCTATGAAATTTACAGCAAGAATCATCTATCATGAACAACTTGTGCATGCAATGGGATACACTTACCGCTAAGCACCTAACTTCAAAATTATTTTTTTCTCTATAAATACTACCATCAGTTACAAGTTCACAATCCTATTTATACAGAAGCTTGTATTTTCTACAACATGCACGAAATGCGACATTTGGATCCAGAGATAGCTGACAAGTGATAGAGCTCTTGGTCTCGACCGGAAACCTCTCCTCTTTACTACGTTGTCTAAAATGATCAATTAGCTCAATCTTCGACTATGTTGTGGCTGAATCCCTGTCAAAACATGTTTAGAGTTATTTTAAGAACTTAATTATGTCTCATTTGGAAGTACTTTTAAAATGGTTAAAGCTCTTTTGGTGAATATTTTTGGTACCAATCCTTAGCAAAAATGCAAGTAAATCTTGAAAAAACACTTGAAGTCAAGTGCTTTTGGAATCCAAAAACATGTTCTCCAAAAGTGCTTTCAGTCATCTTAAAAACAATTCCAAACGGTTCCTTATTGAGATGCAAATCACATCCTTAACGGTGTGTCAAGAATAGAAACCCTTCATGGTTACAGTGCATACTTAGGGCTCTGTTTAGAGCCAGTTTGGGATTGCTATGTTTAAAAACAAAAAAACAAAAAAAAAAAAAACCTGCTTATATTGTGCTTTAAGGATAATTATCTGGAAAATGAAGTAGTTGAGCATTTGATAAATTGTTATTTATGAAAAGTTGTGTAAAAGTGTTTGGTAAAATTTAATGTCAAAGTGATATATATGTATATAATGACAAAAATAGACATAGTAGTGGGGTTGTTGGCAGAAATAGTGGAGGTGATGGCAGCAACAATGGTGGGGGTGTGGTGGTGGTATTAATAATAAGGTGTGGCAGTTAGGGTTATAGGTAGCAGTGGTGCTAGTGGTAGAGATGGCAATTGCAACACTTTTGGTGGTAGTAGTGGCAACAAAGGTGGTGGTGATGGCGACCGTGGTGTAAGGTTGGTTGTTGCAGTCATAGGTGGTGGCGATGATAATGGTGGTGAAGGCGGTGACATTATCAGTGGTGGTGGAGTAGACCGCGATGATGGTGATGGCAACAACAACTGTAAGGTATGGTGGTGGTGCCAATAGTGAGGTGTGGTGGTTGGCGTGCAGAGGTTACAATGGTTGTAACAGTGGTGGTAGTGGTTGTGGGGGTTGTGGTGGCAGTGGTGGCGGTGGTGACAATAATGGCGACGGTGACGACAACGGATGGTGGTGCAATTGTGGTGCTAGTGGTGTCGGTTGTTGTGGTGGTGGAGGTGGTGATGAGTAGCGGCAGTAGTGGTGGTGACGATGACAGTGGTGATGTAATGTTAGTTGTTGTAGTGGTAGGTGATGGTGATAACTTTGTTCTCCAAGAGAGAAAATATATGTAGAAGGATAAACAATGTCAATTTAAAAATTTAATGAGGGTATTTACAAGAATTGAAAATATCCATTAAAGGCTCAGCTCTGCTTTTTATAAAAGTTGTTTTTAAAAGTAAAGCAACCTACATGCTGCTTTTATAAGTTGTTGGAGGCCATTGCTTTAAAAATAAGCAAGTTATTTTATTTTTACTAAACATTTTTTCATTGCTTAATTTTAAAGTGAAGCGGTTTTTAGTAAAAAAAAAGAAACAATACCAAACAAAGCCTAAATTGGATTAGATAACCATAGGATTCAAGGCTTGATGAAGTATATATAAGGTTTTGATATCATAGCATTTGGTGAAAATTGGAAGGGTTACATTTGCTTCATGAGTAATCCATGTTCTAAATTGGATAAAATATCTTCATTTGTTCTTTTAGCATACCTTAAATCTAGTGAGTTATCTAATACAATCCTAAGTACCGATTCTGACATTTGAGTTTTGTTAGACTTGAGCTGAACCATGGACATGAGCTACTGCCTGTTGCCTCATACATAGACCATCCTTATTGAAAGCCCAAATGTGGCACGAACAGGTCTAATATGACTACTTTCTAGTTTTAATTTTCATTCAGTTTTATTTTTTTCAGTGTCTAACAATAACATGAATGTGTTTCATACAAGAAATTTAAAGGTCAGATTTTGAAGGAGCATACGGAACCTGCCAGTTGTGTTCAGACTAGTCCGACTCTTCGGGCAGAAATACTTTGCTCAGAAACTCCTGAAAGCGAGAAGAGTAGGCTTTGGGGTTCACAGTTTTGATGGACTTTGAGTCGTATTTCATTGCCTTGCAAGCATGCTCAATGCGTTTCTTCATGTTGTAATTCTGACAAAAATCTATTATTCCAAAGAATAAAAGAACATTGAAGCATTCTTGTGTTCTGCTGGAGCTATATGATCTACTCTCCATTTCATTCCTGCAGGTTCGGACAGCTCGTGCTGGCAGTCTGTCACCCAATTTAAAATCAGGCCTGCAGCAGAAGAATAATGAGCAAGAGGAAGAAAAGAAAAATAAAGCAGTTACTAGTAAGCAGCATATATGATTTGGAAGAAACATATGGTTGGAAGTTTGTTAGGTTTTATTAGTTACAACTGTTACCTAAATTGTAAAGGCACTTTCATTTACACCCCTACTATTGTCAGGGCTTAAGCCCTGAAAACTTCCTATCAGAGGGGATTGTCCTGAAAGCCAAAGAAAGCAACTGAAAATTAATACAGATTTTCAAGAGTGACAAGAATTGATATGGGAAGAGTCTCGTGTCATCTGCCATTGCTTTCTTCCGCATCCAGGACAAACCACTCAGATACTAGTTTGTCACAGCTAAACCATCATTAGGAATTTACTGCAATTATCTCGCCAGCAGAGCCTCAATGATGGTATTACTTATTCGATGAGTCTAGCTGACACAATAGTTGTGAAAGCAAACTTCCAACTATGTTTACACCAAACAGAACCTAGCACAATTCTATGCTAACTGAGACATTTTGATGCTATATTTAAACCCAAACAGAACCAATCTAAACCTACTTTCATCTTGCTGTTCAGACTTCTATGCGGCAATATATACAATACAGTACCTGTCAATTAGATCGCATATATCGGCAAGAGTTAACTCTGATGAGGTTTCATCGTCTTCTGAAGTATCATCCGTTTGCCTTTTGGCATTAAAACTTCCGGAATTTTTTTTATCATTTGAACCTGCCAAGGGAGAGGTGGATTGTTTATGTTAGAGAATTAAGACTTTGTATATGTTCAATTCATGAAAAAAAGATGCAACCCTAACACTATATTTGACACGACAAGAACGGGAAAACAAAAATACCATCGCAGTTTTGGAAATTTTGTACCAGTTTTCTGCAGAAATATTTCTGTCTATGGTTGCTGTATTCTCATATTTTAGAATTTCCTAGTCTGCATAGATTTCCATGATACAAAACATCTATGGCTGATGAAAAACTTAGTTGCAGAATAAGCGGTAGAAAACGATTAATGAGAAGAACCACCTTCCAATGAACGTGAAGTATCTAGGTGTATACCAAGCAATAAACTATAATCCATGATGCCCTCGCCTTCCAAAAACTCGCAGTCATACTTGATTTGCCTATAAAAAAATAAGAAGACAATAGATGTTAATAAGGCAAAACAAGGGATATATATGTCACGATGCAAACAGATCCATGCATCCTTGTAATAATTTTTGTCTTCTGAGACTGATGTGCGTAATAGGATAAGCTATATACAATCAAATCTGTGTATAACATACCACAGCCAAAATCCAACAAGCGAATAAATGAATAATTAGGAATTTGTAATTACTTAGAAACAAATTATATATGATGGAACGCATTTCCAAAATATTAGTTTGTGAATGCACTCTCCAAACTAAAGTCATTCTCCCTTTGTCTCCATAGAAATCACCTTGGCAAGAAAACAATGTTAGTTTGTAGTTTACCTGCCAAATAACAATGGCAATATTACGGGCTCATATTTTCTTTTAGAAATGAGATACAAATCAGATAATTTGTAGAGCAGCAGCAGTGCACAATAGAGAAGTAAAGTTTCATGACTCTCAAGATCTCTAGACATCCAATAGGTGAAAGCAGCCTCTCCATAAATGGGGGTAAGGCTAGCCGACACTCATCTCTCCCAGACCCTACGTAAAACGGAAGCCTTGTGCACTGGGTACGACCTTTATAGTACCGATGGCTACATGCCCTCAAATAATTGAACACAACTACAACGGCTCATTCAGAACATCTCTAGACATCCTAGGAGTGCTGTATTATTACAAGAAAATAGGAAACGACATGCGAGTTTGAGATCAAAGCTGCTTCTAATTTAAATAATGACTTAATCTTCAAGTAAAATAAAAAATTTCAAAGAGGCACCTGCTATTCACTAACATCCAAAAAATTCAAACTGAACTCAAGTTTTTTGCATAAAAGTTTGCTTATGCGCAGATGTGCTGAGAAATGACATTGATAATTAGACAAAGGTACTTACGCTAAGAGCCGATGTCGGACCAATGGGTCAAGGTAAAAGCAAAAGTCAAAATCCAGATCCTTGAGAATGGCTCTGTCGTGAACTTGTGATTTGTTGCAGGTTCTGCCTACTGAAGACCCTTTGAGATCATAGCACTTATATAAGCATAGTTCTAACGGCATTACAGTTGCCCAAACGGCAAAGTAAACCTGCTCATTTCAAAAAAAAAAAAAAAAAAAAAAAAAAATGTAACTATTGATTAGAAGGAACTTGAATATGTCAAAACCTAATTAAAGGAAGATTTGGTAGGATAAATTTGTTTATCCAAGCCCTTTGCATATACGAGTGTTATGACACCATCATCCATGACGCTTATTATGAGCATCATGGAAGGCAAAAGATGATGCAGTTTCCGCATCATCTTTGTTGATATTTGTAGTCATTTGTATATAGCGCTATTTTCATATTTATGATTGGTTGTATATTGTGTGCTATTTCTATCCAATTATATTGCATTTAATTTAAATAAGTAAACTTCAATTCTCGTAACTGAGAAGATCGTACCTTGATACCTCCTGGTGGCCTGATAACATGAAGTCCATACAGTCTTTTCAAAAGTGAGGCGCCATACTTCTTAACATGACGGTAATAATTTGGAAGCATTTCTAGGTACACCTATGAGAAAAAGTAAACACAGTAATATGCTTAGACTGCTGATAAAGAGATACAAAAGCAAAGCAAATTTCTTTGTTGATTAACTGCATCAAAACTTCGAATTAATTCATAAATAAATCTTTAGAAACACAAAATCCTTCAAAGAACATAAAAATAAGAAGAATTGTTTCAGAGTTTTTTGTTACCTTTCATCCATTAATGGTAAAATGACACTAGAGATTTTTTTTTACCTTCTTTTCTGATTTCCGCAGCGTTTTAATCATGAATCGTTTGTCACCAGGCAATATATACACCCTACCATGTCTTCCTGGTAAAGAAACCTCCCTTAGAGTGTCATCTCCACATATTGTAAGCAGGTAGTCGTCGTAACTAATACTGTCAAGCTCCAGCAAACGTCTGCAAACAATCTATTAGATTATAGCTTTTTCAAAATCGAAAAAGATAGCAACGAACAGAGGCATATGTATATATATACCATAGACATATATGTGGGGACATGCTAAATCACTTCTAATTATACGAACAAAGAAACCTGGCACGAAAATAATTTGACATGTAACACATCTGAGAGGACACTGAAAATAAACCTGAAAACTGCAGGACTGTAATGTTTCCATTCGAAGTCATTCATGATGTAAGCTCCATGTATCGAGCCCTGCCTGGTATATTTATACAGTTTGTTTTAGCAGCTTTGAAGTCACCTGGTGAAAGTTCCTCTTGCAGAAGCTCCATGTATCGCCCTGAGACATAGTTCTTATTGGATCAGCATTTCAAAGTAGACGATGTTACACATTTGAGTTCGTTAGCACATCTATTAGCATCACGCATTACAACATATCTGCACTCAAAAAATAATTTGAAACTGAGGATTACACATAACCACGAAAAATTGACATAAGAAGTTATAATCTCTTTTTCTGAATTGCTTTTTATCAACTTGTAAAACATTAATAAAGTTCCTCTTGTTCCTTTAACCAAAAAAAAAAAAAAAGTTCCTCTTGTGCAAGTAATTGAAACCAAAAGAACCCTTCTCTATTCTATAAATAATCAAAACTCGTTCAAAGAACAAAACAAAATACAAAAAATGATTCATAATTGCAAATGGGGTCTTCTGGTATCTGACATTTATCTAACCAAGAGCCAAAATCTACCAATTCAAACAGAAAACCCTAGGAAAAACATGAGCTCCAAACCAACCCAGCAGTTATTAACCAAACATTAAAACCCGAAAGCAACCTTTGCATTGGCTTCAATATCTCTGACAAGATCAAACCAAATCAAACCCACCAAAAAGAACATTGTTTGCGCAAAGATTTACCTTTGTCAGAAACCCTGTTTCGAATCCCAAGAATTTCCGGAGGAAAAGGTTCTCTTTTTTTTTTAGGTACAACTTATTGGCTTCTGCTGCATCGTCGTCGTCTTCGTCATCAGTTTTAAAAATTGAGCTTTAGTTGTTGGCATGGTTACGACAGAGAGGCGAGGAGGATTGCCCATCGGATTCATTGATTTACTGCACTTTTACGCGCGCAAGAAAGATCCTCAACAACCAATATTGCCGTTTTTGGAATGCCAACGCTAACAGAGTTTCGCGTCTGGCACAAGACGTAAAACACCAACCCCACAACGGTCCATTTTTATTAGACCATTTTGCCCTCGATTTTGGTATGTTTAATTTTCCATTTCATGTCCATTATGGTCAAGTTCACAACTCATATGCAGTTTGAACTTTTTGGTTACAAACAATACTAATATTTCAAACTATGCTAAGAAGAGGGGAGGGACAGTTTGAACTCAAAACGGGTTAATGAAAAAGTTTCTATCCACTAAAACATTCACGATAGGGTAAATTCTTTAGAAGGATTGATGGATGCATTAATCCAATTTGTTAGTTCCTTTGCCAAAAGGAGGGTTTCTAGGTTCACTAATAAAACACTTATCCACCTACAATCACGGTTCAATTCTTGTCTTCCTTATTTTACGGGAGCACAGATTAAAAAAAAAAAAACAAAAAAAAAAAAAAAGAAGAATGATAGCTACCTTTCCCACTTGTTTTTCTCGTTTACCTTTCTTATTTATTAAGTGTCATATGGACTCCAGTTAAGGCTGGGTTCGGTTGGCAAACCATGCCAAATTCCTTATACCACCTGTCAGCTATATATACATAATTACTGAAAATCAGTTACTGCTAGCCATCCATCTTCTTACGGTTGCCAAAAATTGGTTCAACCAAAATTATTGGTTGGTTCGATTGGTAAATGGCACAACCGGTGGTTTGCAAATAAGCTACAAAAACAACAGCTCAACACCATGCATCAACCCATAGATAACAAACTAGAAAAGAGAAAAAGAAGTTGTTGCTGCTATTTTTCAATCGATGATAAGCCAATATAATCATGACTTAAAAAATTAAAATGGAAATCAAATCAAAACTTAAATAAGCCAACAAAAATTGTCAGCAAACATAATCCAAATAGTTATAAGTTAACAAACTCAAAAGTCTAACTAATATAATTGTCTAAATTCAATTGTAGCAACTAATGCATAAACAAAAAACTCAAAACTCAAAAGTATGGTTCTGATGATAAGATCCCCTTATAACCAGGGAGGTGTGCGTTGAAAAGAAGAAGAAAACTGAGAGATCAAGGTTGCTCGAAGTCGTGCAAGAGTTAGAAAAAAAATTGAACAACCTTTAATTTTTAAACCCTAAAACAGAGGAGTCATTTATTTTCTAAAACCCTAAAACTGAGGAGTCAAGCATGTAAAAATACCTAAAATATCTAAATAGAAATATATATATATATATATATATATATATTGGTCGGTATGGCATACCGCCGGTATACAAAATCCAATACCAAAACCATACCATTAATTGTCGATTTAGTATAATGCCAACCGATTATGAAAAAATGCCAAACCTATACCATACCATTATGAACCGATCGGTATGGTTCAGTCGGTAAATCGATTTATAGCAAAATTTCCCACCCCTAACTCCAGTGGTAAAGACGCGAACTGCGAATCCCTAATAAACAAAAAATTGCAGGAGGTTCCGAGTTTGATGCTCCAAGCTAGTAAGTCTGCTTAACTGTGGCCATGAGCAGGGTGAAATTCCCGATAGCCTCTCCGGTAACCAAAATGGGTGGATAACCGTGGCTTGCCACCAATTGTCCTTTAAAAAAAACAAAGAATAAACTCATTACTATTTTTTCATATTTAACCTTGGGGTAATGTTAGGGAGATTAAATTTGTAGACAAAATTTGAAAACTAAATAATTTTCATCAACGTTTGTCATCATTGTCGCTCTCTACCATAGTTGTAGAGAGGAGTGTTGCCCTTACACTATGGCGTAGGTTCGAACCCCGTTGGCTTTCTGATCTAACATCTAATTTAACAAATCTATTGTTTGACAAATAAATAAACAATAAACTCTCATATCATTTAATTACAAAATTTTATCTATAAATTTAGTCTTCCTAATATTATTCTTACCCCTTAGCCTTGTTTTCAAGAGCAAACTTCTCTCACCTACCACCCCGTGTTCTATAATCTAACCAATTTGTTTTTTCTTTTCTTTACCAAAAATAAAAACCCACCTAGAGGAAAACCCTTGGCCGCACCCTATTCCCCAGATCCGATTGGTCACGATTTGTCCGTTGACAAATTTGAGTTTTTTTATTTTTTTATTTTTTTTCTTTCTACCATGATTTGATTTTTGTGATGTAGGTTTGGAGGATTATTATGGTGGGTTGAATGCCTTCTGCAATTTTTTGCAATTTGGTATTAAAAACCATAAACATGAAAAGAACAAGAAAGGATGGGGAAAATGGACGACCAGGCTTCTAGAGCTAAGTTAGATATTTTTTATTTATTTTTAATTTGGGTGGGTTAAGGCTGGTAGATTGTCCTTAGTTAGGGACATATGTGAACATAAAATAATATATTCTATTTAGTTTCAACTCATTAAATACTTATATTTTAAGTGATAATGAAATTCATGTGACAATTGATGAGTGAGAAAGACAAATGATTTTGTGTAAATCACATTCCTATAAAAAGATTTGTTACAAAAGTAGCACTTCATCTAAATGATTTTGTGTTTAGATTCTTCTCTTACACTAGCCACCTACTAAGCAAAGACATTGCCAACCTTTTTAGATAGACTATTAAGGGAAACAAATTTCAGTTATAAACTTCTGTATATGCATGTTCTCATAATAGCCCGTGTAACTGCAAAGTGCGTGCAAGTCAAGTAATTAAGAGTATATATTTGAATTTGAAATTCTGTATTTGATTTTTTCCTCTCTCAATATTGTTTGTATCGTAAAACTCGAAGAAAAGGTTTTGTTTTATCATAAAAGAAAAATGACAAAGATTTTTGTCATCCCCTGAATGGAGCATTGGACATATTGATTGTAGTGATCTCATTTGGTGTTTTTGATTCTAATGTTGTCAACTTGCCCTCACTTCTATTTGAACAAATCAATACCATTATAATAATGTGAATAATTTTAAACATTTAAATCGTAAAATTCAAAACTTTTTTGAATTGGAGTGATGACGATTCCAGAAGCATACAAAACACAAACAGCTACAGAGATGTCGATGAGTTTGCAAGAAATTTTTAATAAGAATATTTTGCTAAACTACAAAGAAAAAAAATTCAAATTTAAGTGCTTAGAGGAAACCACACTACTTTAATTAATTTAGCTAAATACTTACGTAAAATTCCAAACTTAAATTAAGATTCATCGAAAAGCCAAGGCATTTCAATAAAATAAAACCCTTTTTCTTTAAAATATTTGGTAGTGGGCACAAGTCTTTGGACCACAAGAAAAAAAATAGCAGCATAAATTCATAAATCACAATCTTCCACCGTCACATGTCCACCAAGCAAAATCTACCTCCATTAAATATAGAATTTTAAAACCAAAGTGTTGATCTTCGTCACTTCTCAACCAACCCACACAAGGCAAACCCGAGCTTACCTCTTAATCTCCACTTTTTTAAGAGCCTAATCAGTTTCTTGATTATTTTTACGTTGAAAACAAGTGAATTCGCTAAAAGATACCACACGAAGTTTCTGTCATTGGCTCATTGCCAGAAATTGATCATTTCCCTTGGACTAGGAAAACACCTTCGTATCAATGGAACTTGAAAAGGGACAGTACCAATCAATGGAAATTTCGTCGTATGAACACTTATGACATATAAAGAGAGTATGAACCATCTAATGAACAAAACTTCGCTAATCTAACGGTCCAGACAATGTATGTCATTGGAATAGATTGCCACTCCCACATAGATAATGAGGCATGAAAGGGAAATGTTTTAGGCATCCCGGGATATACGTGAGGGATAAAGAAAATGAACATATCATATATCCCCAATTGTATGACAGAATCCCTATGCAAAAGAGTTAAAAGGTAAAATGTTTATAAGTTACATGTCAGGAGCTCGTAAGATTGTATTACCAGCGGTAATTCCAATTGAAAGAATAATATAGCCATGACCATTAATAAGCAGCTTTTTATCTGCAGGTAAATTATATGTATACAAATTTTTGGACACAAATGTTGTAACTGAAAACTAAAGGGAAAAGAAAGAAAACAAGGTGGAACACAGGAATTTCGGACAAATTGGTATAATACCACCACAACATCCTATCAATCCACACAATCAAGGAGAAATTTCGAGCCTCGGTTCGAAACAAAAACCAGTAAAGAGCTGAAGTGGGAACCTCTTTGTTACAGGGCACTTCTGTGACCATCTCCAATGCCTCAGGTTCATGTCAAATACAAGAAGAGTTGGAGCTCCGTAGCTCTGTATGTATATGAGATCATCTGTGCCGCTGCTGGCAAAAACATCATCAAACTCCCCAAACCCTTGGAAGAATTTGTGAGGCATTCGCGCAACCTCTTGCCAGTCCTTCCCCTTTAGAAGCCAGATACCAATCCCCTTAATTATGTCAGGCCGATCTTGTTTACCAATCCCTCCCACCATAACCAACCTCTCCTTCAAGTTCATCAGACGGCCACATGTAAGAGGGGAAGGTACATGAATAAAACTGCGTATCAATAACCCATGAGGAGAACGAGATGAAAGATTATATGTGATTAGGCCATGACGATTGTCTGGTAACCCGCCCCCAGTTGAGTAAATCAAGAAGTACAAAACCCCGTCACAGATAACACTCTCATCCCCACCTCTCCATCCTGTCAGAACCTCTGTCAAAGAGGTCATCCACATCATTGTTTCGGAATCATAAATATGAACGGAGATCCCATTCGAAAAAATTTCCAGCAACTTGCTTAGATTTCACAATTGAGATTGTATAACCATGTGACTTCCTGTTAACGGAAACTGCAAGTGCACTGTAATCAGAAAATTTCAAGCCAGGGGGCTCCTGAAGCTTCCTACATGTTTTGGTAATAGGGTTGCAGACATATAATTCTGTTCTACTGTCGTTGTCCATAAAGCATACCAAACCGCATGATGAAGCAATAAACCAATTGGATGTCTCAATGCAGGGGAGCTCAATGCCATACCACTTCCTGAGGATAGGATCATATGCATAACCAGTTGGATCATTAGAGCTGGTAAACATAAAATACCAAGGCTTTTGTGATAGCACGTGCGAAAAGTTCCACATAAACCTTCTTGAATTAAGAATCTCATACCACCTTTTGCACACACTACGTGCTCTGAAAATGCTTGCAACTGGTAGATATGCTAATATCCGTTCCAACAGGTCATCAGGAAGTATCAAATCCACTGAAACTGCATTAGCTTCTCTATTTCCTTCGTCACTGAGCTCTGAGAATGAATCATACTCTGTAGTCCGCCTTGCCATGTTATCAAAGGAATGGCTAAACCACGATGTTTCTCCCTCCATTATCAAGAGAAGTAAAGTGAAAAGAACCTGAACACAAATATAATACAAAAAAAATTATTATCTAGAAAATACAACACACAAAGTATGTTAATGAGATTCTCTTGCCATTACACAAGCTAGCGACCGCGAGATTAGCATCACTAACAATATATTAGTTACAAAACCAGTTGTCCAAACCAATACGAGTCGGAGACAGACAAATTCAAAATTGACGAATCAAAGATGGCATATCACTTCCAGATGTCAGCTAAATTAACTCTCTCATCTGATATGATTGACTGATTCATGACACCATAATCAGCAGGTAATACTGCTCCCTTCTACCTTTAGTAATTACATAAAAGGAATGAAACATGATTCCGACTAATCAAAAGACTACACATAAGCAGAAATCAATCCACCTTCGGAGATTTTTATTCGCTATTCCCACAGAAAATATTCATTATCCAGAATCCAAATCAATATTCATTCTATAAGAAGCGACTTGGTAACTGTCAAACACTCCATTTGAAAGGCAAAACAAAAGAAAGGACGGTAGGTGCAGCAAGAAAGTACAGACAGTCTAGGTAATTGAATACCGGAAATTCGATACAGAAAAATCCCATATCTTCAAAATTACAGATGCGACAGAGAATGCAGCATAACCAAATTATATCTTGTAATTGATAGAAATTCTACCTGATGCCAAAACAGAAAAATCAAATACACAACTAATGAACCACATATGAGATTGCATGCAGTGATGCAAACCCAGTAGAGAAATGATATCAAACTAAAATGCATACCAGGTGAAGGTATAAAAAATATAACACTTCTCAGCAGCATATGGCCAATACTAATTGCAGAAGTTTACAACCCACATCCAAAGCAAGAGCAACAAAACAAAAGGGGGCCTTTAAAATTAGATTGAAAGCAAAAACTTGTGCTTTTTTCAAAGAAATCAAACCCTAAGAGAGATTTTAATTTAGTTAGATGAAGAGCTATTAGTCCATGGATAACAATCAATCAATCAAAACACCAAAACCAGAAAGCAATACATCAACAAACAATATTTCCACATAACATTGATGGCACAAACAGATAAAAAAAAACCACAGAAATATAAAAATTTCACACAAGCAAAAGCAGAGAGAAACTGTTTTCCTGCAACAAAATCCACCTAAGCACGTACCTTTTATTCGAATCCTGCCTTCTCCACGGCCACTGGCCAAATGGGTTCCCTTAGATTTGTGCAGAGATTCAATATAGCGGTGAAAAACAAACGAACCGAAAAGAAATTTAACCTTTCACCGCCCAGACCTCCTTAAACGAAGCAAAAGGTAAAAAAGCACAAGCTTTCCTTCAAATGGTAGAAAACCATGAGATGGGTAGCTCTAGATTTGGCTGGTGAAACATGTTGCTCATCAGCTGGTGAGCAAAACCAATTGCAAAAGGAGATAATAAAGGGAGAGGGAGAGAAGAGAGAACAGGCAGATAGTGAAGTAAGAAAGAAAGCGTTTTATTTCTTTCTATAGCCTCTCTCCTCCTCTGTTTATGCGTGAGAGTGGGGAAGAGAGAGAGAGAGAGAGAGGCGCGTGAGAGTGCGTGGGAGTTGAGCTATGTTTTTGTCCATACAACAGGGTGAGCCTGAGATTTATGGGTGTTTGTGGCTTTTATTGAAGCATTTGATGAATTTTAGGTGGGTGTATTCAATTGAGATTCTGAGAGAGTTTCAAGGAATTAATAATTTTAGGAGTATTCAATTAGGAATTTAAAAGACTTTATAAAAGTTTAGGTGTATTCAATTGAGAATTCTAAACACTTTTTAAAAGTCTCTAGAAATATAGGTGTATTCAATTGAGATTTCTAGAGACTTTTTAAAAATTCCTATAAATCTAGGTGTATTCAATTGTGATTTTTTCAAAGTCTCTAAAAATTTAGGTGTATTGGAAAACGAATTGAATTTGAAGGAATTTGTGAATTGGTGGATTTTGGAGGATTTCAAGGTGAAACCTATAAATACCAAAGAGCCTGTGAAATCTCACCTCACCCCTAGAAATTTTGAGCGACTTTGTGGGTTGCTCATTCTCTCCAGAGACGGCGCTGCTCCAAAAACAAGCTTGAAGGTAAACTGTTCACCTTGTACATGTTTTCTTCAGATTTTTCTTGTTTGGATACTGTGTAATCTCGTTCTAGGGTTAGGGTTTTCTAGTCTAGGATTTATCAGGATTTGAATATGGGTTTGGGTTTATGATTTCGTGCTTTGTTGAATATGCATGTGGGTTTACGACTTGCTGTTGGATGTCGAAATCTATCCAAAAAAAAATCTGTGGGTTGTTGAATTAATTTTTTCACCTTGTACTTGCTTTTGATTGTAAAAAATATCAACTGGAATCCACAAAGATGGTTTTGGGATCCATTGACTGTGGGGTTCATTATGTGTTGGTTATCATGTTTTTAGCATCCGTTGATTTTTTGTCAAATAAGGGTGAGCATCACACAGTTATTTTGACATTTCATGCATTCTTATTAATTTGCATTCACTGATTTTCTTTAATTACTTAAATTTGACGGTTAAAAATTAAGAAGAGTATATAAAACATAAAATAAGTGTGTAAATATATAGCACAAAAGTACAATGTCATTGTACTTGTGGAATAAAAAATAATCAAAAAAATCTAAAATACAAAACACAGACTTTTTTCTCAAGAAAAATAAGATTGTCCATATTAAATGGGCAAGATTCTCAAATATTCATAGCTCATCATCCCTAAAGGTCCAAGCAATTGAATACGACCGTTAAGGCTCCCTGCTTGTGGTGTGGAAAAGTCAAAGACATTAAAGATAAGATTAATTACTAAATCTTATTTTTAATACATTCCCAATTGAATAGCAACTCTATCAAGTAAGGAATCCCTATCACAATGAATCATGGATACTTCCATCATTATTCCAATAAATTATCTCTTAATTAATATCTTGAGAATATTCTTTTCTTATATATCCAATGGATGACACACCTTGGCCATAAGATGTTGTCATGTATAGGGCTAAACCCTAATCCTATATCTTGAGAAACTAACTTATGCATCAAAGATCCATTCGCCAAACCTCCCTCACCTCGTGGGCGTGTGAGGCTTTGGTCTTTAATCAAATATGTTGATTATTTTTTATGTACAAATTTGTTAAGACTGAAGATATCAGATTTTTGCTACCAATCATCCCCCTTTTTTTTTCTTTCACTTTTTTTCTTTTTTTTTTGTCCCTTGTTTTTTATCCATTTTTTCTTCTTCACAATTTCGTATTACACTTTGCACCCTCATTTTTCCCAACCACTTTGTTTCTTTTCCTTTTTTTTTTTACTTATTAGACTGAATTTAATGGAGTTGTTTGATAAACATTTCATTTTTAGTTTTTATTTTCATTCTCTTTGAAAATTGAATTTAACATCAAGCCAAATTTTGAAGACTCACAAAAATAGCTTTCAAAAGCTAAAAAATCGAAAATAGTTACTTAACTAAATTCCAGTTGTTCTAAGAGGTTATTTGATAACTATTGCGTTTTTAATTTTTTTTTCTTTTGACTAACAATTTGTTTGGTAGCTGATTTTTATTTTTATTTATTTTTAAATGACAAATGAAAAGCACAATTCATGACACACCCAAATCAGAGCATGTTGGCCGTCACGTGAGGGTGACGTAGCCATGTGTACAGTGCGGAAGCAATAATGATAATAGAGAATATGAATAATTAAAAACCAATTCATAAGAGTACTAGCTAAGGTAAGTGCTAGAAAATGTGTGAATACACAATCAGAGCATAAGTAGCCTAAGTTCAGTCCAGAAAACAATCACTAATTAAATGACACCCAGAGATGCCCTACATTTGTGATAGTCTGTCAGAACCTCCAGTCAATCCTCGTGAGACACCAACGAACTAGCTTATCTAAAACCTGGAGGGGCGCAAAATAGAAAGTGTGAGTGGGCAAAAACAAAGCTTTTCAAAACCATTTCATTATCAAATGCTCTAACCCCTCGCCGTAAACCATGTATAATTTTATCAGAAATGGAATAAATATATAAGTATATATACAGATATATTTCAATTCATGCTTCACATATCTATTTTCATAAGTATGCCATGCCAAAATATGAAACAGAATAAGTAACTCAGGTGATAATAAATTCATGGAAAAATAATATATTAGCCAGAACCCCTGCAGAGGTCTATACGGCAGAATTCATAGCTCATTAGTTAATCTAGCCAGAGTTATTGCAAGTGACCTATACAACACTACACTGCACACGAGTCGGAACCACTGTAATGGCCTGTACGACAGGACTGGGTGTAATATAACTATGCTCTACTATGCTCCTTACTACATTCTCACTATAATTGTGCGAAAAATCGCTAGTCACCTACGAGTTGGAACCACATATAATGGTCTGTACGATAAGACTGTGCACCTAAATTGGATCTAATGTGAGCATATGGTGCGGCAGGTGACATTATATACAGACATGTGCCATATCTCTGTCTAAATCACTAACACCGAGGTGACAATATTCCTCAATTAATCACAACCGTTATTCACATTCACAATTCATAAACTCACCTAGAACTTGCCTGAGCATCCACAGCACCACAATTATATATATATATATATATATATATATATATATGCAAACATCATATGCATATTCTAAATGTAAAACATTTGGCATGCCAATTTAAGTCATAACTCATTTAAATGCATTTTCTGGGAAAGATACCAAGCATATACATATATTTTTAAAACCAAAAGCCCACTCACTGGTATGTCGAAGGGTTGTAGTCCCCGAGTCGCCCTTGACTATGCTCGTCCTCGGGATAAGTCTCCCTTATATGCGAAACAACTATAAAAACATTAATTTAAAGCACATAACCAATACTGGCTAATAACTTCTTATACATGCTCAAATGGAGTGTTTAAATATACCAACGTGATCTACACAACCTCAGGAACATGCCCAAATTTTTAAAATAATTTTTGGAGCCCTCATGCACCATTACGTGCCAGCAAGGGCATGGCTCTACACGCCCCCACGCGCGGCCAAACCTTAACTGAGGCCTAACGGCTGTTAGGAATATTTCGTTAAATTTAAGGAATATTTCGTTAAACTTAACTAACGCTGTTAGTCGCCGTTAGGAATATTCCGTCAAAATTGACGGAATATTCCGTCATCTTCTACCTTCGAAATCCAGCGACCGTCGTCGTCGTCGGAAACTGGAAAAATCTAAAAATCCTTCTAACTTCTTCATTTTTGCACCAAATTCATGAAACTTATACCAAATTAAAGCTTACAAGGAGTAGAACACATTCTTACCAATTTCAAGCTCTAAAAATCATGGGATATTGCCGGAGAAGGCACGATAATTTCGGCCAACTTTCAAACTCGCTAAACTCGACTTCCCGACGTCCAATTTGCTTGGTTTTTCTTCTTTGAGCTTCGTAAGAACGTCCTAAAGCTTCCTATGAGCTTAAAATCCCTTGAAACATCCATAATTAGGACCACATGAATAGTACTCAAATCGGGGGTGATGGTTTCTCGGGGTTTTGAGGGTTTCACGATCTAAAAATGGCATACATGAACTCAGAGACTTTCAAAGAGTTCGAATCTTACCTTCTTGACGTCAATCCATGCGTGAAATGTGAGTTGGTGTTCGTCCGTACGTTTTGTACGAAAATGGTAGGAAGGTCGAGAGAAGGAGAGAGAGAGAGATAAAGAGAGAGAGAGAGAGTGCACGTGGTGTTTTTGTTTTTGTGTGTGTGTGTGTGTGTGTTCACTTGGTCACCAACCAAACAAACAAAAGTTTAACTTTTAATTGAGTCGAAAACTTAGGACCTCAACATATTGTCTACATCCCAAAAGCATGTCACACACATCACAATCTCAACGTCCAAGGATAAAACCGTCATTTCGCACCGTTGAAACTAAATATTTCGGGACGGGCTGTGACAATTCAAAACTTTTTTTGAGTTTACAAAATTTGACTTTCAATTTTTATTTTTATTTTTTAATTCAAAACTCAAAGAAATCACCAAACAATTTTTTTTATTTAAAAAACAAAAGGGTTAATCTCAGTTTACTACCCTAAAGTTTTTTGGTTTTCAACATTTAGTATATGAATTTGTTAAGGTTGTTGTTAAATTTGCCATTAACTGATAACGTGACATCCACATGGACAATGACTGGGTGCCACGCGGATATTTAAAAATAATAAAATAATAAAAAACAAATTAAAAAAAAAAAAGCTATTAGGTATAAAGGATTGCCCATTTGTTATTTACACTCCCATAGCCATTTTTTGACACGAATTTGGTATAAAGGTTCGTGAAAGTGAGGGCCTATGAGGACTTACCTTGGGTGGTGAGGTGGCGCTTGATGGACTGGGCTGTGGCGGCGACGTTGGGAACCACAGACGGAGTTAATCGGTTGGAGATCAAGCAAAAAGTGTAGTAGAGTGAGCTATGAAATTCTGGGGAGTTTGGAGTCGGTGGGTGAGATTCGAAATTGGGGTTTATGGAGTGAAGGCTGATGACGAGCTCTTCAATCAGATCTGCAGCTTTTTGCTAATCTTTTTCCTCCATTGGT